AGAAAAAAAAAAAACAAAAAACAAAAATCAAGTGAATTTCCACGTAGGCTATCCAGTAACTTTGACCTGCTATATGCAGTCAGAGGACCAAAAAATAATAATTTTTTTTTCACTTACATGACCATTTATAAAAATGCAAATTTCTCAAGACTAAAACAAAAAAGGGGATCAGTTACGGGACAAAAAAACTTTTATTTGCCATGCTTTTAGTGTAGGTGCAACTAGGGGCAGTAGTGTTAGGTTAGTCAAGTCAGCTTTGGAGGGAAAACAGTGATTTGTATCTCCCGGTCTCTTATAATCATTTGATTACCTATATGTACATTTTGTAGTTTAATATAATTTGTTCGTTTAAAAAAATAAAAATAAAAAGGAAAATAACATTCATGAGACACAAAATATGAACTCATATTGGTAGATATATAAGTGTAGTTAAATATTTAGCATGATTAGTAGGTCATTGTACTGAGACTTATAGGTCTAAAATCAGTAAGACAAAAAACAATTTCTTTTTTTAGAATGGGGAAAACAATGGTATGATTAGTAGCTTTCGTGTTAGTATCAAAAATAATTTGTAACTGTAATTGAATAAAATTGTAGTAAAGAAGAAAATTTTAATAAATAGGCTAATGAAGGGAAGAAACTTGAAAATGTTTTTATTCAATTGCCACTTTACAATGCAACCGGCACACATATATATATGTAGCAAAGGAGATTTCTAGAGTACAATTGATCATTACTATAAGCAATGACAACCAATCACACTAATAATTGAACTGATGACAACCAATCAAGTAATAATTGATCATTATTACAACCAATCACAACCAATCAAACTAATTTATTAAATGAGCATAATTTTAATACTCCCCCTTAATGCTCATTTGAATAATTCCAAGTTTTTCTCGCAGAGTCTTGAATCTTGGTCTCGTTAAAGCTTTTGTGAAAAAATATGCAAGTTGATCTCCAGTGGTGATATACTTGAGCTCTATCTGCTTGTCATTATTTGTTTCTCATAGAAAATGATATTTGATAGCAATGTGTTTGGTTCTGCTGTGATGTACCGAATTTTTCGCCATTGCTATCGTTTATTTGTTGTCGCACAATATCTCTGTTGGACTTTTTTGGTGTTCTCCCATGTATCCAAGAATACGCCTAAGCCAAATAGCTTGACTTGTCATTAGTGCTGCTGCGACGTATTCGGCCTCTGCTGATGATTGCGCCACACAGTCTTGCTTTTTAGATGACCACGAGAATATGCGTGAGCCAAGAGAAAATGTGTAGCCAGAGGTGCTTTTCATGTCATCAGCTGATCCAGCCCAGTCACTGTCTGTGTAGCCACCAGTCTTGAGTCTTCGTTATATTCGTATTGGATTCCGTAGTCTTTAGTACCTTGCAAATATCGCAGTATTCTCTTCGCGGCTCCATAGTGAACTTGGCTCGGACTTTACATGAACCTTGAGAGTAGACTTGTTGCGTACATGATATCTGGTCTTGTGGTCGTTAAATATAGCAGGCTTCCAATCAGACTTCGGTATATGGATGTGTCTGCATTTGGGGTGTCGTCGTCTTTGCTGAATTTTTCATTTGCAACCATGGGAGTAGCCACTGGTTTATAGCCGTCCATCTTGAACCTTTTTAGTAGATTATCTGTGTATTTCCTCTATGAGATAAATATCCTTTTTTCTTTTTGATTTACCTCAATGCCGAGAAAATAGCTCATTTGCCTAAGGCCTGTCATCTCAAAGGTCTTCATCATATCTTCTTTGAGCTCTTTAATCATCTCCTCATTGTTCCTTGTATAAATAAGATCATCTACGTAAAGAGAGACAATGAGTTTGTTGTTATTACCTTGGGACTTGATATAGAGTGTTGGCTCAATTTCGCTTCTTTTAAATCCATGACTGGTGAAAGAGTCATCAATTCTGTTGTACCAAGCTCGTGGGGCTTGTTTCAATTCGTAAAGTGCCTTCTTTAGCTTTAGGACTTTAATTTTCTTGTCCTTCTGCCACGAACCCTTGAGGTTGTTCAACATAGATTTCCTCTTCCAGATAGCCATTGAGAAATGCTGACTTGACATCAAGCTGGTAGATTCTCCATTTCTTATGGGCTGCAAGTGCGGTTAGAGCTCTTATGGTGTCAAGCCGAGCAACTAGAGCGAAGGTCTCGTTGTAGTCGATCCCGAGAAGTTGTGAGTACCCTTTAGCGACCAGTCGTGCTTTATGTTTTTGGATTGAGGCATCTGGGTTAAGCTTCGTCTTGTAAACCCACTTAACTCCAATGACTTCCTTGTTGTTCGGTAGATCGACTAACTCCCAAGTTTTATTCTTCTCGATCATCTTGATTTCTTCTTCCATGGCTTTTACCGATTCCTTTACCTTTACTGTTGCTTCAAAGCTTTCAGGTTCCATGGTGGCAAAATTGCATGTCTCGTAGATCTCCCTAAGTGTTCGTACTTTTCTCGGTGGGGATTTTGGGGATGACTGTTCATCAGTTGATGGTGTTATTGTCCTCGGACTTAAAGTTTGTGGAGCTGGAGGTGATTGTGTACCTTCTGTTTCATTTTCGTGTTCTTTTGGTATGGTATTTTGCCTCCGCCATGTAGGTACCATGAAATTTTGGTATTCGACTTTTTCTTCCTCCTAGTTCCACGCAGCATTTTCATCGAACTTAACATCTCGACTGATAATTAGTTTACCAGTCTTGAGGATGTAAATTCTATAGCCTTTAGATTGAGAGCTATAGCCGAGGAATATGCCTTTATTAGACTTCTTCTCTAGTTTGTGCCTTTTTTCCTTTAGGATGTGCACGTAGCAGATACTTCCAATGACTCGTAAATGTTGGGCAGATGGCTTTTGTCCACTCCAAGCTTCTATTGGAGTTTTATTTTGGACAGCTTTAGTAGGACACCTGTTGAGTAGATAGACTATAGTGTATACAGCTTCTGCCCAAAATTCTTTAGGCATGTTCTTCTCCGCGAGCATTTTCCTGGCCATCTCTTGTACTGTTCTGTTTTTTCTTTTTGACACGCCATTTTTGCTCGGGAGCATAGCCGACAGTAAGCTGATGGTTGACTCCTTCATCCTCGCAGAATTTGTTGAACTCCTTGGATGTGTATTATGTGCCTCGATCACTCTGAAGTACTTTAGTTCTTCTTCCACTTTGGTTTTCGACGAGACTTTTGAATTTCTTGAAATTAGAGAAGACTTCTGACCTTTCTTTCATGAAGTACACCCAAGCCATTCTTGTATAGTCATCAATAAAGAGGATGAAGTACCTGTTTTTCTCGAAGGTTGGCGTCCTCAGTGGACCGCACACGTCTGTATACACCAGCTCCAGTATTTGATTGGCTCTTTCTGCTTGGTATGAAGGAAATGGTTTCCTATGTTGTTTGCCCTCCATGCACTTTTTGCAGAGATTGTCGTTGATTTGGATGGCCGATAGAGTTTTCATCATATTTTTCTGATAGAATAACATTAGCCCATTGAAGTTGAAATGCCTGAACCTCTATGCCATAGCCAGGATTGATCTTTTTCGGCTTTTAGTGTTGCTTCTATGAATTTCCAACAAAGCGAAAAGTTCTCCGTTGTTGCATTTTTACTACATCGGAATTGTTTTTGTTGTCATAAATGGTGCAAGAGTTATCTTTGAAGAGTAGTATGTATCCTCTTTCCACCATTTGTCCCACACTGAGTAAATTAGTATCAAGTTTTGGTACTAGTAGCACATCTTCAACAAGACGAGTACCTTTTTGAGTCTCGACCTCAATTGAACCTTTGCCTTCAACTTCTACTAGATCTCCATTACCTTACCGAACTTGTGATTTTACAGATCTATCAATATTTTTAAATTTCTTTTCATCTCCAGTCATATGGTTGCTGCAGCCGCTATCTAGAAACCAAATATCATTTTTCTCTTCTGAATTTGCATGTGTTGCATAGGATAGCAAATTTTCTCCTTTTTCATTTTATTCAAAGAAATTTGCTTGATATCTTTTAGTGCGGCAATTTTTCTCTATATGACTGAATTTAACACATTTTTTACATTGTAGTTTATCTCAGTACCAACAATCATTCTCAAGATGGTTGGTTTTCTTACAAACTCCACAAGGTGGATATTTTCCTTTTTGATGATTATTATTATTATTTCCACCTTGATTTTTATTTTTATTACTTTCTCCAAATCTTCTCCCCCCCTATTTTAGAATTCTGAGACCGTAAATTTAGTTTTGACTGAAATGCATTTTCGAGTGTATCATTTTCACGCATACTCAGTCTTTTTACATAGGCTTCAAGTGAAGCTATTAATTCTGTCACTGACAAATTATCCAAATCTTTAGTTTCTTCTGTCGTCGTGACGATAGGATCATATTTGGCTGGTAGAGTAATTAGAATTTTTTCTACCACCCTTTTGTCAGTAATATTTTCTCCATATGCTTTTAATTGATTTACTACTTCTCTTAATCGAGTATAGTAATCTTTTACGGTCTCAGATTCTTTCATCTTCATATTTTCCAAATCTCTTCTCAGAGTTTGTAATTTCAGATGACGTACCTTGTCACTACCCTGGTATTCTTCCTTTAGAGTATCCCACGCCTCTTTTGATGTATGTGCTCCGATAATTCTTGGAAACAGGGACTCCGACATGGCAATTTGTAGTGTGAAAAGGGCCAAACTATCTTTTTTTTTTCTCTCGGTCGAATTTTTCTTCGACCGCCGTGGACAAAGTGGAAATGTCATCGAGTATAGTATACCCGTTATCGACAATATTCCATAGGCCTTGAGACATAAAATATGTTCTCATTTTAATGGCCCAATAATTATAATTTTCACCAGAAAAAATAGGAATTGCTATTTGATAGGTGTTATGGGAAGTGGTCATAATAAAAATTTAGAAGGATATGTGAAAAATGGTGTATTTGGACAAGATATGTAAAAATTGGAGAAGATTGAAAATAATGTCGCCCAACTATTGATCCAACCGGGCTCTGATACCCCTGTTGGTATCAAAAATAATTTGTAATTATAATTGAATAAAATTGTAGTAAAGAAAGAAATTTTAATAAATAGGCTAATGAAGGGAAGAAACTTGAAAATGTTTTCTTATTTT